GATATAACCCAAAGCCAATCGCTGAAATAAGTTTTATAGAATAACGGATCTGGCTATTTCTGGTTATTTCGTTTGTATAGATAAACACGTAAAAATATAAAGTAAAGTAAAAAATCATTTAATCATATAGGTAACATAATGTACACTTATGACTGACTTGTCAGTAAAGGAATACATATTAATGTTTCTAATTTTACATTAACTGCCAGTTCTCAAATCAAGAGCGTAGAACGGAAGAGAAGAACTGGCAAAAACTCTCTTTAATCGCCATTTTTTTTATACAACGTCTGTAAGGAGCTGCAACCATTACACCATGTTCTACATGACATATCAAGTAATTATTAATAATAACATAGTTAAATAAAAAATAAAAACAAAGACTTGTCCTCTATCAGCAGGAGGCATGGTGAAATAGGAGCACGCACCCACATTCTCGTGGGAACAACACGCAAACACATAGTCGAAATAACCAACATCACCGCATACACGAATTCAAGTACGACCAGTCACCACAAGCAGCACCCGTTCACGAGCATGACGACATGGCCAGCGAAGATTTGAGTTTTGGTAAAAAACGCTTGATACAACTATATTCACATATCCCCATATATTATAATACATATTCCCAAGTAATTGAAAAGCGCTTGATTTGAACCTACAGAACAAGCGACAGCCTGTACGCCTCAAGGAAACCTGGCGGTGTACAGTTTCAGACTTGTCAAATTTTTATACACTTCCAAATAATATTTATTTAAATTAGATAATAGGACAACAGAGCACCACTCTTGCAATAATAAGGTAAGTATATTATGTGATAAAATTCATTCCCAAAAAATTATTGTGGTTCATCAAAATATACAGGGGATGAAAAATAAAGAATTAGAAATTGAACTATTCTTGAATAGTCAAAAAATAGACTTTTTGTGCATAACAGAGCACTGGTTAAAAAAATATGAAGTTTTGTTTAATTTTTGTAACAGGGTTGGTAGTGTGTTTTGCAGAGAAAATGCAATTCATGGTGGCTCATTAATCCTAATAAGTAAAAAACTTAAATGCAAAGAAAGAAAGGATATTATCAGCCTCTCTGTAGAACTAACTATTGAAATCTCCTGTGTGGAACTGGAGCAATTCATTGTTGTATGTCTATATTGTCCTCCATCAGCTGTCTATAATAATGTTGAAAATGTATTAGAGGAGATATTGTGTAAATTAGTAAAGTGTAATAAAGGGCTAATTGTGTGTGGGGACTTTAATGTCAATTTACTTTGTCATTCTAATTCAAGTGTACGCATACTTAGTCTTTTCGTTCATACAATTTAATAAATCAATTTCATTCACCCACAAGAATAACAGCTAGCACCGCAACTTGTATAGATAATATATATAGTGACATAGCCCCTTTGAATGTTTGTATTTTCAATAGATTTAAATCTGATCACACTGGTCAATGGTTTGAATTCCAATTAAGGAAACAAAAAACATGTAAAAAGAAGAAAATTGTGATAACTCCTATTACAAATGACCGTTTGGACAGATTTAGAGAAGCATTGGTCTATAGAATACCATTTCTGTGTGGCAACTCATCCCCTAATAATTTATACAATACTTTTTTTGGATCATTTATTGATGAATTCAAGAAAGTATTTACTCAAAAGACTTTATTGGTCTCTGAGAAAACAAGTTTCTGTGACTGGGCAAATGAGGAGTTACACAGGAAAAGGTTAAAATTATATGAAATCTATGACGAAATGCAATATAACACTAGTGTGGAATTTAGGGAATATGTTAGGTTGTATTCAAATAATTTCAAAAAAGATTGCAAAACTGCAAAGTCTCAATATTTAAGTTCAAAAATAAAAAATAGCATGGATAAAGTAAAAGCTACCTGGAAAATAATAAATGAAGAATCAGGTAAAACGTCTGACAAACGAACTGATTATATGTTAAAAGTTAAAGGGAAGTTAATAAAATCTGACCCAGAGGTAGCTTCTTCTTTTGAAGAGTTCTTTACAAATGTACCACTAAATACGACCAAGTCCCTAGATTCTTCACCTGCTGCTGCGATCTCATTGCTAGAAAAATGTGTACCTGAATGTAATATTAAATTTCAGTTTAAACATATAACTTGTAATGATATCGTTAAAACTTTTAAGCTTATTAATTTAAAAAAAAGTAAAGATATATGGGGTATGTCAACAGTCATTTTAAATTCCGTTATTAATGTAATAAGCTCTGAATTGTCTATAATTTTTAACAGATGTATCGATTGTGGAGTCTTTCCGGACGAAATGAAATTAAGTAAGATTACACCGTTGTTCAAGGCCGGTAGTGAGTCTGCCCTGCGATTCTGTAACTCACTTCACGAACTCACACAGCGGTTTTCGCATCGGCGGTCGCTCTCAAATCAGTCGTGAAGCAGTCATTTTATGATTTGGCATTCTGAAAAGGTGGGAGCTTGTACTTTATTGTTTATCAGAATGCCAAATCATAAAATGACTGCTTCACGACTGATTTGAGAGAGACCGCCGATGCGAAAACCGCTGTGTGAGTTCGTGAAGTGAGTTACAGAATCGCAGGGCTGATCCGTCAAACTTCAGACCTGTTTCCGTGCTCCCTGCGTTGAGCAAAGTTTTTGAAAAGATAATGCTAGACCAGCTTTCTTTACATTTTAATAAAAATAAACTCTTACATAATAAACAGTATGGTTTCACTAAGGGTCGCTCCACAATCGATGCCGGTGTGAAGTTGATTTCGGACATATTTAACGCCTGGGAAGAATCATATGATGGAGTCGGCGTCTTTTGTGACCTGTCAAAGGCCTTTGACTGTGTTCATCCTGATATACTCGTTGGAAAGCTTCAACACTATGGCGTTGATGGCAAAGCTTCCAGCCTGATGAATTCATATTTAAAGGGAAGGATCCAAAGAGTTCATGTCAATGGAGTCACCTCTCCGGGTTCGCAGGTATCAATGGGCGTCCCCCAAGGATCGATTCTCGGGCCTTTCTTATTTCTGATTTACATAAATGACCTCCCATTCTTTGTCAACGAAGTTCATGAGATGGTATTGTTTGCTGATGACACTTCACTTCTATTTAAAGTGAATAGGAATAACGTATTATTGGACGATGTAAACAATTCTATCTCTCGTATAGTTAACTGGTTTAATGTAAATAACTTATTGCTTAATGAGAATAAAACAAAATGTATTAGATTTACAACTACTAGCGTAAAGCGAGATATTGGTAACCTGAAAATTAAGGACAGTGAACTAAACTTTGTTGACAAAACTGTTTTTCTAGGCATAACAATAGATAGTAAACTCCAATGGGGCCCACACATAGAGACTCTTTCGAATAGGCTGAGCTCTGCAGCATATGCAGTAAAGAAAATCCGACAGTTTACTGATGAGGACACGGCTAAAATTGTGTACCATAGCTACTTTCATAGCGTTATGTCGTACGGCATTTTACTGTGGGGTGCTGCTGCAGAGGTTCAATCCATATTTGTGCTGCAGAAGCGGGCTGTTCGGGGTATTTGTTGTGTTTCTCCGAGGGAGTCGGTACGGAATAAGTTTAAGGAATTAAATATTATGACACTATCTGGTCAATATATTCTTGAAGCCTTGTTGTATGTCCAAAAAAATATAAACGATTTTAAAACAAATGGTGACTTTCACCAGTATAATACGCGAAATAGAACTAATTTGAGTGTACGACCAACCAGGCTCCAAAAGATAAACCACTCCTTATATGGAAATTGTATTCGTTTTTACAACAAGCTCCCAAGCGAAATTAGAGAATTATCACTAAATAAATTCAAAGCCCTCGTTAAACGAAAATTAATCAACAAAGCTTTTTATAAATTTGAGGACTACTTAAATGATCCTAATCCTTGGGATTGAATTGCTCCAGTTCAAACAATTTGTATGACAATACTTGGCGATTAAAAAGAGTGGCGGAAAGTTTCTTGCCAGTTCTTCTTACCCGCTCTACGCCCTTGACTTGCGAACTGGTAGTAAATGTAAATTTACGATTAATTTAACTTGACGATTCAAAAGTGTACTTGGTTACCTACTTGAATAAAGATATTTTGAGTTTGAGTTTGAGTTAGGTAATACTCAAACGACAGCATAGTCAAGACTACTTGATAAGGATAAGGTAAGATTCGATAAGGATTTTACAGCGTATTTAAGTTATATTCTATCAAATTCATGACAAAACTTTTCCACTTTGAATTTATAGAATATATATCTATATTTTTTTATTAAAAAATAATTAAAAAAATCTTTAGATACCCACAGTCTCAAGCAACTTCACCCTAAACTATCGTCAAAGATTTGAAAACAATTTGTAATAGGAAATTGAATCTGTCAGATTGTTAAAACGGCCTTGATCTGTTGGAGTGACATGAGAAGGCTTTTAGGGAGCAAACAATGCCTTTCGTACCTGGTTTGAAATCTTAGATGGATCAATACTTATACGGCGTTAGTTGAACATACACCTAGATTCAAGAATTCTATTTTACATTTGCAAATTATGGGCGTAATAAAGCCAAAAATTATTGATGCACATTCACAAGAATTTAATGTATGTTTCTTTTTTTTGAGGTTCATAAGTGTACATTGTGTTACCTACACGAATAAATGATTTTTGTCTGTTTGTTTGTTTTTTTGACAGTTATGTGTAAAAAGATAGTGCTCTCATGATATTTAAAAAAAAATCTTTGATTATTATTATTGTGTGTGTGTTTTTGTTAGTAATACATGTTAAGTCTATTGTCTATGTCTATATATTTTCAGGCTCGTTACAAGTTGATAATTCACATATTAGGTTACTACCAAGTTTTATTTTCTTTTGTATAACAGAAATTTCCATATTTCAAGTGTATTTTGGTAGTGTTAGTCTAGCCACGATCATCTGTTCGAGTCCCGGTCATTGAGAGATGCTCGTGTAACAAAATTTATTTATAATCCTCCTTTAACATCGGTATATAAAAACTTCATATATTTTTAATAAACTCACCCTCATCCAAAGACAACTGCTCCCATATTGCCACTTTGGTGCCGGCCGGGTTCTTCAATGCGACGTACGCAAGTTCATTTCGCACCAAACGCAGGTCGTGGTCCAACGCCAATATCCAGAACGTAACTGTAGTAATAAAACGGTTATAAGGATTATTTTTTGGAAATATAATTGAGCTTTTACTTACAATTAAAAGTGTAGGATTGTGTCAAAATTACTGAAGATAACATGTTCTTAAAGGAAATGGCGCTCGGCGAATGGTTTTATATAATTATAATTAAGATACATTTATTCGTTAAACTATATTTTTACAAAAGATAAACACATTCCTACATTTATGCAAAAGGTTTTTTAAGGACCTCTCAAAGAGCAAAAGCTTCGTCCTACCTAATCTCTCTCTTGCTTCAAATTTTTTTCCGCCAATCTTATTTTAGCTCAATTTCCACCGTGCTCGAGGATTGGGCACGAAGATGAGATTCAAGTTGTTCATCCACTTCAGGAAGCCTTCTATCTTTTGGAGGTCGTGATTAAATATAATAATAACAGAAGCTTAATACGGCCTTAATTAGTAGTCGAGCAGACTATTTTTATTTATTAAATTAAGATAGTAAAAATTAAGTTGTTGTGCCAGGCCTAAACTAGCGTGTCCGATAATAGTATCTTATTAATGAGTGAGTATCGCATAAAATATTAACATTTGAAATATATGCTCAAGCTAACCAGTGAAACTAATTTTACACGTGTCACTATTAGGTATGTAAAGCTAGAATAATAGATCAAAACCATAGCCGGTTTATACCGGAATTCACGATTTAACTTATTGGTCGTTGTAGTAATTAATTACAAACAGCTCGTTCAAACTTGAACAATAAAGGGACTACGCCCAAACAACCTTACAAGGTTTAGGGTGATACAAATCTATCCATAGATCGGTAATTGCGTAAAATCGTAGAAGGAACAAAATAGTTCTTATATTTTATAGAGCAATGGTCACTTTAAAAGCCATAACATTAGTGCTTTATTATAGATTTTATCCTGAATCGTATATCGTATACGACCGAATATTATAAAAGTAACTTGATAAGAGCAGTCTGAATATCCAATAGTAGTCGAATATTGTTTAAAATCAAATTTTAAAAATTACGCAGTGACCGGTTGTAATTGTTTATATTTATAAAATTGTCGCTTATGGACATTATTTAATTTCGACTTCATTTCAAAAGCATAATTAAGGTCCACGTATTATTTAGAAATACAAATTGGACTCAGATTAAAAAAAATTAATCCATCCTATCAATCAATGCTTGGTGATTGAAATTCATGTCATACCGAATTGAGCAGTGTTGGTAATCTCTGAGGTTCGAACTCTGCACACAAATGGACTGCCGCCATATCATGTCTGGACCGCCTACATGCTTATTAGAAAAAAACAAATGATAACTAAACAGGTACAATCCAAAAAGGTTGTAGCCACTGGTTTATTACACAATGAAGTAATACGCCTACGCTCTTAATAATCCCAAACGAAAGTAACAAAAGAAATCTGCCAATCAGTGTACTAAGCGGGGATCTAATTAATTACGCCCTATACATTAGTACATTATTAATTGATACCCTTATTACGTTCTATTAGGTACTTGATCCGTCAATAAGATATTTAGGTAAGGTTTTTATCCACTAGAAACTCAATTTTTAGAGCTTATATCTCGATAAAGGTATATCTAAAATCTGTATTAGAAACATGCTATGATATATATATCATAATATGAAATAGTAGCTGATTTACCAGTGTCTGGAAACTTATTTTTAAACTTAGTATTGAGCGTTTAACACCTACGCACGCAAGTGAACGCAGAAACAATATTTTTTATATTATTTTAAATATATTGTTTTTATGGAATGGTATTTATTTTTTTAGGTTTTTATACTTTACTCATATACCTACCTATACAAATTTTTCCTGTTAAATCGATAGAACCTACAACTAAAACAGTGGGATATTCCGCCATAGTTTCTGGTTATCAAAGCTAATAAAATAGTCACCAATCTTTCATAAATATATTTGTAACTTACTGGTCTCCCCAGGTCTATAATGGTGTCGAGCAGGTCTGACGATTACATCACGCACAGGTCCCAGCAGCTTGATCACACTATGGCTTTTGGCAGTACAGTCTTCGATCCCGACACAGCCTACTGTCGTGTGAAGAGTGCAGTGTGATGCTGGCGATAAAGGAATCTTGAGTGGAATGATGCCGTAACCTGCAAAAGGTATATTAAAATTTAATTAAGATGGGCAGCTGCAGCTGGCCGTCCCAGGCCACGGACTTGCGAACCTTTGGGCAGTGTGAGTATCCATGCCCGTGTTCTATTAAGAAAGTGGTAGTAGCAGCTATAGTGTTAAAGTTTGTTGTTAATAATTATATAACATCCCCATACACTTACAAAAAAATTTAATAAATCTCAGCCAATCGAACGACAACGTTCAAAAACATTTAACCTAAAATTCTTGACATTAATGTCATCGTAAAATCCCACTGAAAGTGTTATTCAAACTCGAATCAAAAACCATTTAAATTCCGAATAGTTGTTCGAGAACCATCGAGAAACGTCGAACCAACAAAAGATCTTGGAGATACTCCAAATGTAAGGGATGTTGAAGAAATTGCGCCAACGAACAAGCACTTTACCAGACGTTATTAAGAGGTGAAATTACGTAAACGTCTGGTGAATCGTATCGGTTTTCGTTAATATTTTCTTGGAAAACAATGAGCGTTCTTACGACAACGCCGCACACATTATATCAATATTTACCTAACTACAAGTACTCTAAGTAAACTGGACCCATTGGCTTATTGTTTGCGTTTAACTAAGAGGTCTGCATTCAGTTACGGGCAATGCTATAACTGTTCTCTATTGAAGGTTACTGAAGGCTTCCTTGCTAGACTATAAAGAAAAGTTAACACTTTTAAAAATCGGGTGTTACATACACATAAGTTTCAAAGGCTAGATCCACATATAAAGGAAACTATTTTCATAGTCTTATGCTTTTAGAAGTAATGGAAAGGGCATTTATTCATAACCTTTCCTTTTAGCCAAGATCTTAATCACAAAGCCTTAATAGATCTAAGGAAATAACTACAGGAGGTTTACAAAGGCCAAAGTATTTTAATCATAATAAGCGTCGGAAAATATTTATGAAGATTTCTTTGTATGAGTTTTGAACTTTCAAATTCACAAAGGAATATGATTTGAATATCAACATTACACGAATGTGAATTTTTATAGAATTATTTTTCACATTTACTTTGAATGTTCGTGAATTTAACATTATAATTAGAGAATTGAAATATACAAGGTAAATAACCTTTGTATATTTCATCATTTAGATTACTTGTTAACAATTGTAACATAATATGAAAAATATTATATTTAAATATAGTACTCTCTCTCTCTCTCTAGTAATCTCGTTTAAAGTGAATAAATAAGATATTTTGCATGAATAACGATCAAAAGATTATTTCGGAATTAAATAACTTATAATTTTAACTTTTATAAGTTAGCATTATTATTAACATTGACGGTGACATTCAGAGAGCCTTAGCGCAATCTATGTCTCCCGTTTGTCAAAATCCAATATTAATTTTTGACTTACGAAAGTCAAGAGACTTAGCGCTTTGTATCTTTTCTGAAACTACGCTAAGAGAGACTATTGTGAGAGAAATATAAGTGAGTGTTTTTGAGAGTCAAATATACTTTAATAACTTTTTGTATTATGGAAAGGGCTAAAACCCACAACCCTTTAGTTGAATTAATGTGAAACTACCTTTCGTTGAAGTTCTCAAATGAAAATACTCTCTTCGGCTAACGTCAATGAAGCTGATATCTACTTTATCTCGCTTTAAAATATTGCAGCCTCCTTTAACAGCTAATTAGGCGCTTTTGTACCTTATGAATAGCTGTTCACTTTAGGCTTAATTCAAGCTGCATACAATTCTATAAATTAGCGGTGCTGGCTTCATTAAGCGGCCACAAGCGATTAATGGGGCAGTTTAGTGCTTTAGGTGCTCGGTGAAATATTATAATTAATATTATGTAGTATGTGGTCAGGAGCTCGTCGAGCTAAGCGAATATTTAAAAGGGGAATACTAAAGCGTACATATGAAATTGAGTATAATTCAAATGTTATACATGCTGATACTGGTGATGGTTATTAGATGAACGAACACATTTGTGATTTTCAGTTGATTTGAAACAGTTTTTATATAAAAATATTTTTATTATTCACCATTAGTTGAGCAATGTTGGCCTATGTAGGTTCGATCCCCGGCTGTGCACCTATGGACTTTCTTTCTATGTGCGCATTTAACATTCGCTCGAACGGTGAAGGAAAACATCGTGAGAGAACCGGCTTGCCTTAGACCCAAAAAGTTGAGGGCGTGCGTCAGGCACAGAAGGCTGATCTCCAACTTGTCTATTAGATTAACAAATGATCATGAAACAGATACAGAAATCTGAGGCCTAGACCTAAAAATGTTGGACCGCCACTGATTTATTATTCACCAACTAAGGTTGTTAGAAATGGAAATGGCGTCCGGCTGTCAAAAGTACAACATACGCAAAACTACTCTGCTACAAATCATTGAATAAAAAATATTTATAAGAAGTGATAAGTGCTAAAAGTGAGTGAAAAACAACTAATAACTGGTGGAGCATCAAAATCAGTATCAATACTTTGTGTTTCAAGATTAAATCAACAAGAAAACACCTAAAAGCGTATCAACGCATTGTTATTGTAGTGATTAATTTTTTTCTTCTTTTCCCAAATTGGCAATTCGAAGCTGATGGTCAAAGTCACCGTTTCAACATTTAATGTTATTTCCACAACATAAAGTGAATCGGTACAGTTTTATGAAAGTAATAATTAACACGTAATTAAGTGACTCATCATCATTTTAACAATTTGACATCTATCATAACAAGACAACAATAAAAAAGAGTTGCCAACTCAAAAATTAAAATTTCCCCATAGAAAATTCATAAATGCAGTAGTTGTGAAAATAAAGAGGTAGCAGTATATATATAAAAAAATACTAGAAAACCACCAAAAACAGAGAAACAAAAATACAATGGATCTTCAAGTAAAATTAATATTGGAAAAAATGGAAGAAATGAAAATTGATTTTAAAAAACAAACTGAAGAGTTGGCAGAAAAATTTAACAGGAACCTGATAAATGTTATTGACGAAAAACTAAAACCAATGAGAGAAGAAAACAAAAACCTAAAACAAGAGGTAAAAACTCTTCAGACACGAGTTCGGGATCTAGAGAGAACTACAAGAAAAAACAACATAGCGTAGCTGAAACCGAAACAAACACGAATGATCTCATGAAAAACGTACTAGAGATACTAAACGAAATTAGTCGAAAAAGTAAAGAAACGCGGGAATGGGACCAGTGGGAACTCAGCAACCTAAGAAGGCTCGGCAAGAAGATGGAAGGTAAAAAAAGACCAATACTTATAACACTCACTCTAGCATGGCGGAAGTATGAACTCCTAAAGAACAACCACTACTTTCCTTCTAACATATATGCTACGGAAGACTATCCAAAGGAAGTTCTAATCAAACGTAAAGAGTTAAAACAAATGAAAATTAAGGCAGAAAAGGATGGGAAACTAGCTTTTATACGATATGACAAACTAATAATACAAGAAAAAGGTACAACAGATGCCAAAAGAAGAAGGTCATCTTCAGATAATGGTAACGGCAGCATAAACACAGAAACATCGGCACCTACAAAAATTAGTAAGTCACACCCACAAATATTTCGTTCAAGAGCAAACTCAGCTTCCAATACTGGCAGAACAAACAATCAATAAAACTTACACACGGCAGACCAGAACCAGGAAAAAGCACGACAACTATAAACAGAACAATAACGACAGATTACTCCCCAATCCGGCTGGTCCCCGTGGGGAATGCGACCAAAACCCTCCATCCAACAAGATACATATAGCAACACATATAGCAACACTTAACAGCAACACACAGTATGACCAAAACCCTCCAATGATCACACCAACGGAGTGGGGAGGCGCCTTGCATAAAAACAAACTAATGATTGCAACATACAACGTCCGAACCCTCTCATCGTATGACCGTTTGCTCGAGTTTGAAGAGGCTATAAGAAATATTAAATACGATATCATCGGAATATCTGAAATGAGAAGACATGGAAATAAAATAGAAGAGTACGAAAATTTTATACTGTGCTACATAGGGCAAACCCCTGGCAAACATGGAGTTGGCTTCATTATAAATAAGTCTCTCAAAAAACACATAATAAGCTTCAATGGCATAACAGAGCGAGTGGCAACACTAAACATAAATATACAGGGACATAAAATATCCATTATACAAGTTTATGCACCAACAGAAGCGGCAAGCGACCTTGATATAGAATAATTCTACACTACAGTTGAGAAAGCCTTGGGCACAGCGCAAAAAACCACAATATTAATGGGAGACTTCAACGCCAAGCTTGGAACCCCCAAAGCTGACGAATATTTAGTAACTAAAAAACATGGATACGGCGAGAGAAACGAAAGAGGACAAAGACTAGTAAAGTTTGCGCTCCAACACAAATTAATGATAATAAACACATGTTTTAAAAAAAGACAGAGCAAAAGATGGACCTGGCGATCTCCTAACGGACAATACAGAAACGAAATCGATTTTATCTTGTCTAACCAACATGGAATATTCCAAAACATCGAGACGCTCAATCTGAACTACAATTCCGATCATAGAATAGTCAGATCAACAATAACACTAAACAAACAAAAAATATCAAGAGCCAAGTTTACAAACAGCCAAAATAGCAAATTAAAGAGCGAAGAGGAAATAAGTAAGTTCAACGAAAACCTAATATCACAGCTATCTACAACTAGCTGCGAAAACACCACGGTACAATACTGCTACGACATGATAGAAAAGGCTATCACTTTTAGCTTGAAACAAGCTCGCCCAAAGAGAGAAGAAAATAAACAACATAAAATACTATCGGCAAGTACAGTAAGGCTACTAAAAAGAAGGAAGGAACTACAGAAAACTAAAAACAAATCACGAAGTCAGAAAAATGAATTGTCCGCAATATACAAAGTAGTCAATAAGTATATAAAAGCAGACTACAAAAAATATAGGAAAGACACAATAAAAGAACGTCTACAAAGAAATGGAAGTACAAAGAAGGCCTATAAG